ACATAATCAGGACCGTATTCAAAAAAAAGTTGATGATGTATCTACGATTTCGAAACGTCGTGTAGTAAAATCAATATCACCACCTTGAATCTCATCAAAGTTGCTATGGAAAAGTATGCCACCTGGATGACCAGGTGGCCATAAAGCACACTTTGGGCTGTAGGTACTTTGCCCCTTTTCATTTTCACAGAAAAATTTAATTCTCAGTTTCTATAACTTTGAAATTGTTACATCGCGATTGCCTTTTTCTCACTTCTACGTAAGTAAATAACTTTGGTCAATTCCATAGTCTCATAAAAACATTTTTCTTTAATAATGCGCTGATGATGGACTATTGATAGTCCGAAACATGTTCAGATGTTCCTGATGTGTAATAATATAGTATATCGTTCAACAAGCACGGAATTATAGTGATTTTCTTCGAGAATGAAGTTTGCAATATCATTCAAGTGGGAAATCAGCATTCCGTGCGATTTATACACTATAGTTTTTCTACGGCTGTAAAAGATAACAGCGGCATTTTCGATTTCTTTGTCATGTAGCCATCTGATCCCCTGTCAAGTAATGCTCATCTATTATAGACAGAGCTGTCATTGCTGGAAATTTGACATTCCATGAGCGATGAGATTTTTTTGAAATAATAACACAATGGAGTCATTGTCATGATCAGATTCGGAAATAAAATTGATGACATACAAAGTACCTCATTGATGTATCGAACACAGTAAAACAAGAGCAATTTTGTGTTATAACCCTAGAAAAATAACTTTGTGGAGATGACTCAGTGTGTTTTGTTCCTGGGAGTATTTTTAGCTTCTCTTTATCTCTGATAATAAGGTGAAAAACAATAAAATAGATTTCCTAAAATCCACTTTTTTTAATAACTGAAGAACTGAAAACCCTTTTGAAAATGTCAAATGCCGTTGATATGACCTTCTGAATGCGCAACTTTTTTCTCATTCGAATTCGTATCTCCTCCCCCGTTTCCGAAAACCGCATGCTGTGCAACGCAATAAACTGTGCAACGTACCTTATCTTGGTCACACTGTATCCTGCATTACCGATCTCCACCCTTCGCTACTCAACGAAAAGTAGTTCACCTTGTACCTCATAGATACCGCCACCTACTAAACAGAATTTCTACCCAGCGAGCACAAGAACATCTCAGAGATGTTAAAAGTACGAGATTTCGAGACATTGAACCTCCACTGCGATGTTCTGTTCACACATGAATAGAACTATTATAGAACAGCCAATGTCCGCCGCAGGCGGCAATTATCGAGATATCCTTGATATGTCACAAAACTAACTTCTCCCTAGTTCTTTTTGAAGCCTTTTCATGGACACAACAAAACATTTTCAACGCGTCTTGCGCACATTAAATCGATGTAAAAAAACCATTTTCGAAGTACTTTTCTGAAGCCTTTTGTCAAAATGAACTTTTGCATTAGCATTCCATTTCCCTTGAATGAAAAAATGCATTAAAAATAGATTGAACATAAAAATATTTTCTTGATATGAAATTACCTTCTTAATCGGTTTCTGAGTAGTGCTTACTACACACAGACATATAATTGGAAATAGGTTTCCCGCAATTTTTGAAATGTTCTCCACAATGCATAATTTTGCAACTGCGGAGAAGCTGTGTATTGATGAATTCGTACTTTTTTATATATTGATTACACTGAGGCACCGAACAACACATCTTGCATCTGATGGTCATTATTACAAACTGAATAAGTCTTCTAACACAATAAACTTCACCAAATTCCTTTCTGTTCGTTAGCAGCGTGATGTAAGCGTGACACGCTGCAAACGCGAATGCCAATTGCGAACAAGAAGAACAAGAATCGAAAACAAATCAGAATTCATCGTATTGTGACGTGAGCATGAGAATGTTGTGGTGGGGCAAACAAAGAAAGGGCACAAAAGAAAAAAAACAATACTTTCAATATCCTTCTTAGACCTCTTTTGGAGGTGCATATTACGCCTCAAAAAAACGTCCTCATGCCTACATTTCTAAAACATCCCAAAATATCCCAGAGATACCTCTCAGTAGGCAAACAAAGAAATGCCACAGAAGAACAAAAACACTACTTCAATATCCTTCAAAGACCTCTTTGGTCAGTGCATATTACGTCTCAAAATAGCATCTTCATGCCAACATTTTCAAAACATCCCAAAACATCCCAGGGATGTTTGTGCTCGCTGGGTAGCTCCATCGCTCTCATAGGGATGGCCCATCTTGTTAGAGTAAATAATCAAGGCTTCTACTGTAAAATAGGTGAATTAACCTCCAACCAACCTGCATGGGCGAGTTCCCGTTGTCCACCTTGTCGATTCCCTCGCCCCCAGTCGCTGCCCCACCCCCCAAGATAGCGGTGAGGATCTTCAGCCCCACAGAGAGCAGGTTGGCCCAGGGGGAGGCAGGGGCGACTTGCGCGCCGTCAAGGTCGTCAGACTTGTTGGGACCTTGGTGTGCTCCACCGCCCGGGTTGAAGATCATCTGCATCACCATGCCTGGAAATGGAGGTCGAAAAGGGATATGATTATTTAGAACATTATAGAACTCTCTGCAACATTATAGAACATTCTAGAACGTCCTGGAACATTCTAAAACATTGTAGAACATTCTGGACCATCCTAGAACATTATAGATCGGAGAACATTAAATTACATTATAAAAATATATTGAACATTCTTGAACATTCTTGAACATTCTAGAACATTCCAGAACATTCTAAAATATTCTTTCAGGAACGTTATGATACATTGAAGGCCTTGTTGGGGCCCTGGTAAGCGCCGCCGTCCAGGGTGAAGATCATCTGCATCACCGTGCTTGCAAATGGAGGTCGAAATGGGATATAATAATAAGGAACATTATAGAGCAATCTGGCAAATTATAGAACATACTAGAACAATTTTGAACATTCAAGAACAGTCTAGAACATTCTAGATCATTCTGAAACAGCATGGTTATCTTCAGAATATAATAGAACATTAAATAACTTTCAGGAATATCATGTAACATTGAGGAATATCATGGACCGATGTCGAGATTGTAGGATTTGTTGGGACCCTGGTGGGCGCCGCAGCTTGGTCTGAAAATCATCTACATCACCATGCCTGCAAATGAGGGGTCGAAATGGGATATTATGATATAAAATATTATAGAACAATCTGGAAAATTCCAGATCATACTAGAACATTTTAGAACATTTTAGAACATTCTAGATCATTCTAGAACATTATGAACAATCTAGAACATTCTAGAATTCTTTGATATTCAGGGAACATTATGGAACATTAAAGAACATCATAGACCAATGTCGGACTTGTTTGGGCAGTGATTGGGACCGCCGCTCGGTTTTAAGATCATCTACATCACCATTTCTGTGGATGGAACATTTTTTGCATTCCAGAAGAATCTAGAACATTCTGGGACATTTTGGACTTGTTGTGGCTCTGGTGGGCGCCGCTACCCGGATCGAAGACTATCTGCATATCCATGCCCAGAAAAGAGGAGAGTATCGAACATTATGGAACATTCTATGCATTCCAGTAGTATCTAGAACATTATGGAACATTTCATAGCATTCTAGAACAGTGAACAACATAATAATATGACATTCAAGATTAATCTTGAACATCATCCTACTTTTAAGAATATCTTGGAACATTATGGGACATTATGAAAAGTTGTGGAACATTATGGAACAACATAGACTGCACTCGAGATCGTCGGACTTCTTGTGTTTATAGTGAGCGCCACCGCCCGGAGAAATCTAAATCATTGTAGAACATTTTATATCATTCATGGACATTCCAGAACATTCTTCATCATTATAGGTACTGAAGAGAATACTATAGAATATTATGGAATATTATATAACATCACAGAGCATTAGAGATCATTATAGAACATTCAAGATAATTCCTGGGAGATCCTACTGCATTCTATTACAAGCTAAGATATTTTAGAACATTATCGAACCTTCTGAAAAAATCTACACTGATCCTGTTACACTATAGAAAAAGTTTTATAAATTCAATGGTGAGTATATTCTTGACAATGTTTTCGAATTATATTTTGGAACATACTAAACAATATAGGAAGTTTCCAGAACATCGAAGAACCTTTTGTGATAGAATGAAGCAGGTTTATTTTATCACATTCTTTGAAATATTTTAGAACATTTTCAGATTCGTGAATGTCATCGAAGCAGACAACTTAACCTATCCTGTCTAATTCTGGTTGAGATATTCCTGGATCAGAAATGTATATCCACAAGTTTCCCAAAGAAAACATAAATTCCACATACTTGAATAATTACAAAACACTATTCCAAAAACTTTTTTTATTCTCTTACTTTTTGGTATTAAATTATAATCTTTGGAGAAATATTCGTACATTTACTCCTTTTTCTGGACTTCAGATGGATATTCATGAGATATTCAATGATAAATTCGAAACGGGCATCCTTTTGAAGATATAAATGTGTTGCCCTTGGAATAGACATAGATTAACTTAAGCAAACGGAAATTTGTATAAATATTCAAATTAGTGTTCAAAATCATTATTTTTATTTCGAAATTTTTGTACACAATAATTTACCCTACTGGAAAGAACTCGTATCTTGACTATTCTTCCATGACATATTCATCGATGGATTCGAAAAAAACATGTATTTTTTGACGAAAATCCCATTTTATGTTCTGTTCTTCGGCATTTATAAGATTTCCTTTGATAATTTCAAAATAGATATCCTTTAAAAATTATTCTTTGGGGGGATATCTTGTGAATATCTTTGAAAAATATATTTTGTATATCCATGAACAATGTATTACGTATATTCCTGAAAGATATATTATGCAGTCCAGCTTCTTCAACACGGAACGTCCATTGGACGTCTATAGAATAAACAACGAATATCAAGTGGATTTGCTCTGAACTTACAAATAAGTAATTCAATGTTTCTTTTCAACCTGCCCATACGCACCTAATAAATTCGACCAGGTGAAACCACCGCCGCCACTGCTCTCGGATATTTGATTCGTTTCTATGTCATTGAGGTCGTCAAGAGCGACTTTCTTTATCGCATTCGGTTTTTCTGCGAATTTCCGTTCTACTCTGAACTGCTGCTGCTGCTGTTGATGTTGCTGATGCTGCTCGTGGGAATTTCTGATTGGATAAGAATGTGTTTCCGGGGATGAAGCAGGGACGTACTGAGCGTTAGGGTAGGAGAGGGAGCTGATGATAGAGCTGCTGACTAAAAGGGTGCTGAACACCCATCCTACTGCTGCTCTGTGCATCCTGCAACAAACAGAAGAAATAGTTATTTACACATCAAAATAGTAAAGGATATCAGTATCACCCAGGGAACAAGATTCAATTACTATAGTTCTGTGGAACTGGAATATGGATCTATTGTCACTATGAAAGCACTTATTTTCAATTCTAATAGAAATCTAGTAGCTATGACCAAGACAGTATATAACAAGTCGTTATTGATAAATACCTAGTAGATTCGAGTAACATATCTGAGAATATCGCATGAGAACAGTGAATTCGGGTTAATTATATCAGAGGTGGCTATGTCTTCATTGACTAATGGTTCATGGAATGCCAGAAACTACCTTGGTAGTAAAAACACACTTCACGTCTTGAAAAGAAAAATAATGGTAAGTTCTGAAGCTATATATTCGATTGAATTCATTGAAATTTGGCCTGTTATGATGATTATTATCTTTTGGATCACAATAAAGGATATCTCTCATTATATCGTGGAACATTGTGTGTACCTGGGGTAGCGATGAAGATATGGTGGGTATATCGGAGTTTAATGGATATTGGAAATTTGGAAAAGGATTTCAAAGATTTTATTTACATCACGCATGCTCGAATAATTGGGTAATCAAATTGAGTCTCTAGAATATAGCTCTCTATGGAACGTTTTTTATATGTTCACCAAAAAAAAATCATAAGGGAATTTTTTTTTGTACAATACATAAAAATGAAATATCATTTTCCAAGAGTAATATTTTCTTTTTCCCCACAAAAAAATTATAAGATATTTTTTATACATACAAAATTGATGAATATGATATTGCACCTCAGATCGTTCAGGTAAATTTTAGCTTTTGACATATTGCAATTTTTTTCAGATAACTTTTTATTTTCCACAGCCTTTTTTTTTATTTCCAACTTTATTTATCTACTCCCATCTACAATTCGGTAAGCTCTTTCCTTCATGAGAAAATGACCTATTTGTTAGTATTTTTTTTTAGTAAACTTCAAATACAACGATGTCATATAAGAAATCATAAATTATGAATATCGATTTGGATTCGAAGAAATGGCGGATGAATAAAGAATTGGCGAATGTTCAGTACCAACAGTACATTATTTTTTCAAAAATAAGTGATTATGTGGAAGGAACTATCAACATGTTGGGTAAGATTAATTATAAGCAAAATATATCAATATTGTGCGATATTGTGTATTTTTTTCAATGAAACTTTCACAGCTAACATTTTAGAAAATTGATTTACATTATATTGCACCCCATATCTTGAGTCTAGATCGTTCAATTGAATTTCAGCTCTCAACATACCTATTGCCATTTTTTCAGATAACTCCTTATTTTCCACAGCCATATTTTTTTATTTACCAACTTCATTTATCCACTTCCTTCCAGAATTCCGAAAGCACTCTCCTTTATGAGAAAATCACCTATTTGTTAGTATTGTTTTTAGTAAACTCCAAATACAACGATGTCATATAAGAAATCATAAATTATGAAGGATATCGATTTGGATTCGAAGAAATGGCGGATGAATCAAGAATTGGCGAATTTTCAGTACCAACTGTACATTATTTTTTCAAAAATAAGTGATTATGAGGAAGGAACTATCAACATGTTGGGTGAGATTAATTATGAGCAAAATATAATAATATTGTGTGATATTGTGTAATTTCTTCAATGAAACTTTCACACCTAACAATTTAGAAAATTGATTAACATTATATTGCACCCCATATCTTGAGCCTAGATCGTTCAATTGAATTTCAGCTTTTTACATATTGCAATTTTTTCAGATAACTTCTTATTTTCCACAGCCATATTTTTTTATTTATCAACTTTATTTATCCACTCCCTTCCACAATTCCGAAAGCACTCTCCTTTATGAGAAAATTACCTATTTGTTAGTATTGTTTTTAGTAAACTCCAAATACAACGATGTCATATAAGAAATCATAAATTATGAAGGATGTCGATTTCGATTCGAAAAAATGGCGGATGAATCAAGAATTGGCGGATGTTCAATAATTTTACATTATTTTTTCAAAAATAAGTGATTATGAGGAAGGAACTATCAACATGTTGGGTGAGATTAATTATGAGCAAAATATATTAATATTATGTGATAGGTATTCTTTTTTTTTTATGAAACTTTCACACCTATAATGTCAGACCCATTGAAACCCTGTATTTTGTATTGTTACCATTGCAACTGAACATATTTCCGGAAATTTTTTGCTCCTCCATGAGAGAACGAGCATGAAATTACACTGAAAATTTCACACCAAACATTTTCGATCAATTCAAAGCCTGTATTCCGTATATCGTTACCATAGCAACTAAACAAATTTCTTGGAAATTTTTTCCTCCTCCTTGGGGGACGGAGCATGAAATTACACTGGAAATTTTTTGACGTTTATAGGTCAAATGACATTTACATTCAGCTTCAGATTATTTCGAGTTCATTCTATAAGTCAATAAATAAAAATCATTTATCAACAGTTTACCATGTAATATTATGTAGGTTTACTTGCAAATTTGAAATTCACAAAAGCACATGTTGTTACTATACGTTAGTTCTTACATTTCATCACAAACAACCATGATTCTCAACTAAATCATCTAAGTGTTGTTGAAATTTCTCTCAATTGATCGAAAATGTTTAATTTAATTTATTATTTAATATCCGGGAAATTTTTCTCGAACACGGATATTTTGAAAATTCGTGTTCTCGAAAAAATTTCAGGAAATAATTGAAGCTCTCGTCTGTATATTTCTTGAAGTTCAAATGTCGAATTTTTACTATAAGTTCCTTGCAGAAGAATGTATTTTTACTAATTTCAACTAAATGAATTCGTGAAAAACCGAGAGATTGAGCTACTTTCAATTTTTTTTCATGTCATTCGAAATTCCAATAATCAAACAAAATGAAGAATAAAAACTCCTTTTCACAAGGCTTCAAAAATGAACCTCCTCTACCAATGGAGATAAATTCTAAACTCCTATTTTCGAGTGGGAAAAATTGATGATGAACTCGATCTCTTATAATGACCAAAGTAGTCGATGCTGTTTGAGTTGGAAATAAAGAGAATGTTTACTTGAAAATGCTGTTAACTGCACTAGGTGTTTCAAAACCGGTAAATAAAACAAATTTATGTATATATGGCAAAGCAAACTATGATATATTGTTGTTCAAGAAATTCATAGGAATCAGATAAAAATTGCTTCTTCAGATAGAAAGTGAAATCAAAACATATACTACTTTTTGGTTGTGCGTTCTTTCCTTAGAGTAGTGGATTTGCTGATGAAGTTTTCCAACTTTCTATTCATAAAGTTCGAGAATGTAAACCTAATTATCTCTCCAATCAAATTTTCTGTCGGTCCCACTTGAAATGACTGCCTAATTACCTATTCGAAAAAAAAACACAAAATCCAACAATTTTCTGCACTACTAAATCGTTTTCTTCCTAGCAAACAAACGTTTTCACCAAAGAATGCCATGCAAAGTGGGCCATGACGCCATGAGCGTCTGCTGTTCTGACGCGTTCTACTTGAATAACAGTTAGTTAAATCCATCAAAACAAACACCAGGTTATGTGCATAGGCAAATCATGCCAGTAACGGTTAAAAAAGTTAGAACATGTAGAACTGAATCTAAAAGGTAACCCAGTTCTTGCAGAGATGCGCATACCGAAGCTCGAGACACGAGACTTAGACACTGTGTTTATAAAGATAGCTAGGTGAAGGTCAAGAGATTTCGATTTTGGTTCACGGTACCGTTAGTGGCGAGGAATTGAGGTTCTCGCCAGATATGCCAAGAAAAAGACGAGTCAATGGTCAGAACCCAGTGAAAGGAAGCTAAAGTATTGGGGAAGGCACCAGAATGATAATAATTTAATAATAATGATAATTATTATTATTGATCCTGTTGGACATTTTCACAATGTATAGGATACGTCAGAAAAAATGAGACACTTGAACATGGAATCAGTTACTATACTGGATTTGAATCTAACATTATAATATGTCTCTGTCCGAGAAGTACTACTAAGTACTGTAGTGACATTTTCTCAACAGTAGTTCTTTTATAGATTCATTGAAGAGTTTGTAGTCGCTTGCAAGATGGTTATACAATTCGATTCCCATATTTATATGAAATGCAATTTCCATATTTTTTGGTGTTGTGTTTGGGGATAGATAAAAAGTCAGAATGTCTGGTTTCGTAATTATGTAATGATGACTTTTTGATATATTTGGATATATTTTCTCTCACATACAGTAAGCTTCTGTATATATAGATGCATGGAGAAGACATTATAAGTTATGTTTGATAAAGACCTGCTTGCAAGAATCATGAGGATGCATGTTATAAATATTCCTCATAATTTTTTTTTGGGCAACAAATAGTTTCTGCCTATCTACAGACTGACCCCATTAGACAATGTTATAGGTCAGATTGCTGTGTGCGAGGCTGTAATAGTCATTCAATAAGGCCTCTATGATCAAAGAATGTTTTATCCGCAAAATCACAAAGTAGGTTGAATTAAGTTTTTTCACTAAGTGCGTTATGTGATCAGTACACCTCAGATTGTGATCAAGATAGACTCCTAGAAATTTCGTAAAAGTTGTTGATGTTATTTGAGTTTTTCCAATATTGAGAAATAGCAATTAATTTCTTGGAGCATTGTGTGAATGAAAGTATATGCATTCAGTTTTCCCCAAGTTCAGAATCAATTCATTTCTGTTACACCAGCTGCAAAACTTCTGAATGACGTCCTCAACTAATCCTTGAAGCTCCTCATGGGATCCTGCTGAGACCGCTATAGATGTGTCGTCAGCAAATAGTGTAAGTACATTTGTACTCAAGTGCTGTGGTAAGTCGTTGATGAAGAGCAGGAAAATTAACAGTCCCAGCACGGATCCCTGGGAAACTCCAATTTCTACTCTGTGTGGATCCGAGTATTTATCAATTTTTTTTCTAACATTTTTCGTTCTGTGAGATAGTTAATCATCCAATCTGAGAATATGCCCCTAAATCCCATGTTGAACAGTCCATTTTTTATAAATCTAAAATCAAGACATTCAGAAGCTCGGGTCAAGTCGAAAAACAGTCCTGCCACATGTTTACCCTTGTCGAGTTCTTTATAAATTTGTTCTAGAAGACTGGCAGCAGCAGTTTGGGTGGACTTTCCATGTCTAAAACAATTATTTATCATAATAAGGAAGATGATGGAAGCCCTAATTTCTAGTGACAACGATTATTATATGTATCTTTTCGAGTAACTGACAAAAATTATCGCTCACTCCTAAATTATTTATTATGCTGAATCTGTTCAAAAAATCAGAAATTCTATTGTGTACACAAAGCGTCCAAATATTTTTGATACAATACTCAATTAAAATTTTAATAAAAACAAGAGAATCCTATTGACATATTCAATTTAGCTGATTGCCTGGTACTTTTTGATGGAAGATACTTTCATGCAAAACTGTCACTGTTGCTCTCCAATGTTCACTTCAAAAAAACATCAAATAGAGGTATTGACTACAAATTTTCCGGTCATCACCCATTTTACATCGAAAAGTCAATATACAGGGTGGTCCGGTTTGTAATACAAAAAATGCAACAGTGTGTTGTAGTCGTCGTTGGAATGATAAAAAAGAACTCATATGATAACATATACTCCTAAACGCGTCATTTTCGAGACATAGAATGCTGGAAATACGAGTCTGAATATTGTTTTTTGATAAAATCTAGAAAACGTTTGAGACAAATCAACAAAATTTCTCACAGATACTAAACTTTTTACGTTCTATAAGATGAAATAAAAATTATTCCATGAAGTAATTCAGTGCCAGCTGAATCTGGGGAGGTGAAGGTAAACTAAAGTTTCATTGTGTTTGTCCAGCTATTATTTTTTATTTCGAAATAGTTGTACCGCATTGAAAAAATACAACAGAATCATTATACGCTGAAATCTATCTGTTTTCCCATTTTGTACTCGAAAATGAGAAATTGAATGCACATACGAAAATTGGGGTGATTTTTTCCTTCATCAATAATTGATCCATATTTCAATTCAAATAAGTATGAATAACACTATATTGACTTCAGAGAGTCAATGCAACATTAGATAGACACTTCCCAAGTTCACTCACTCATTCTGATTCTTCGTTTTTGATAAATAACTGAGGAGGGATTGAATTCCACTTAGATCATGTTGACACACAAGTATCTTCAGTAATGAAAAAAATTGCGAGCACTTATTTCCTCTGACACTATTTAAATCAACATCAGTCTAGAGCTAGGCTGGTATGAGAACACCTTATACTTTCAGAAAGCCCTTGATAAGA